CTGATGTCAACTTTATTCTTCTGGTTGTACAAGCGGTCGTCAATGCTCCTTCTCTTCCTCTCACACTTGGCATCCAATTTGTCAACAAATCTTATTGGTCTTCCTTCAAAATATATCTGGCATTTACTTACTTCCTCCAACGTCCACTGCTGCCACTCTGGGCCGTGCCACCCTCATGTCTCACCTAGTTTCAAGGTCCTGGATTACTGCGAGAGCTTTCGTAGGGATCCCCCTCCTTCCACCCTTGCTCTCATACAACCAGAGTGAGTGTGTGAAAGAGGTAAATTAGATGTCACTCCTTCCCAAAACTCTCCAAGGGCTTCCTTTCTCATTCAGAATAAAAACCAAAGTCTTTACGATGTGCCCATACAGCCTTATCCAACCTGATTGCTGACACTGTGTCCTCCTTCTCTTAGTGAAGTTCCCTCTGTTGCTACCATACTGCCCTTCCTGACATTCCTTAGACACTACAGCCACACTCGCTATGCATGGCCTTTGCACTTGTTGTTCCCACCGCCTGGAACTTTCTCCTTCAAATGCCCTGTGGCTTGTTATCCCCCACCCAGCCCTCCAGTCCTTACTCAAATGTACCTTGTCAGTAAGGAATTCTCTGCCAAGCCTTCTTAAAGGTACAGCTACCTCTGCCCTGTCTCTCTTCTCTGCTCTATTTTATCCAAAAGGATAAAGTGTCTTCTCATCTGCCGGCTGCAGTGTCTCATGCCTGTAATACTCGTACTTTGGGAGGCCGAGATGGGCAGATTGCTTGAGGTCAGGAGGTCAAGACCAGCCTTGCCAACATGGTGAAACCTTGTCTCTACTAAAACTATAAAAATTAGCCAGGCGTGGTGGCATGCACCTGTAATCCCAGCTACTTGGCAGGAGAATTGCTTGAACCCAGGAGGCAGAGGTTGCAGTGAGCCAAGATCGTGTCACTGCACTCCAGCGTGGGTGATAGAGCAAGACTTGGTCTCAAAAAACCGAAAAACATTAAATGCCTTCCTGAATGAATTTTCTTTCTTTTGCTTTTTTTCTCGCTCAGGTTATCTGTTAGATCTAATTAAGTAAGCTTATCTTCTTCTAGGCTTCAACTACTACTTGAATTTCATTAACTTTCCACATTTATTTATCTCTATCCTCACTTTTATTCCTGAATTTCATTTGTATTGCCAACAATTTGCTGTATGATTTTAACTGTGTCCACCAATTATCTAGACTTTAAAATCAATATTTAGAAACGCAAACATATTTACTGAACCGCTGACACTGACCTTAAATTAAAATAAACACATGCCACAACTGTTCTTTCTCTTACATATATTTTTATATTTTGGGTATTGCCTCAGCAGCTACTCGTATGATGAAGCAAGAACTGATGGAGTCATCCTTACTTTTTTCTAATATTTCTTATATCTAATTGATCCCTACATCCTGCTAATTGTACCTATTTTGAGTTGTCTCACATAGATCACCTCTTTTCCACCTCCTTATGTGTGAGTGGATGCAAAACCTTCCTAACCAGTTTCTCTGCTTCCTACTATTCCAATTCATTCTTTGTATTATTGTCAGCTTTATATTTCCAAACACTTCCAGGACCTTCAAGAAAAATGTTTGAATTTCATAATAGGTCATAAATTAGTTTAATCTTCTGAACCACAATAGAGAGGAATTTTGTACCAAGCTCCTGGGAATCACTTTATACGACAAACTACATCCACTTGAGTGGACAAACCCTTGGAGCAAGTCAGCCCAAGATGGTACAGCTTTATTAATCCTTAGAGTCCAATACGAGATCCAAGATTTGGAAGGGAGATGGAGGTTTTTCAGAGAAAGTGATGAGTTTACACAAGAAACAAACAACATAGGGGCAAAACCAGATTATAACACCTCCAAAGAACTGAAACAATTCATGTACATTAAATATTTTAAGGTATATTAATATGATTTCAGGGTCTTCAAGTTTCCTTTGGGAGGTGTGTGAAGTAAGAAGAAAAGAAATGAAAATGTAATCATTATAGTGTATACACACCCTTTCTGTCTTTCTGAAACAATAATTCTGCAATAAACCATTGGTGAAAGATGCATTCTCATCTTTGTGAGAACATCTCCCTTTTCTAAAACACTAGCTTGCTGGTGACTAGATCTTTGAAGACATACTTTGGTGCCCCGAAAGATACCTGATTAGCCAGACCAAGGGAACCGAGAAGGAGATTACACCTCTATTTTACTCTTATTAGTCTCTTTGCAGTTTGTACTTTCAGTAGACTACCTGTACTTAAATTTGCTTCTTAAAATATGATGAAGATTGCAGAAAAAATACTATGTTCATATTACAGGTAAAGCAACAAAGGTCCCCAAAAGATGGAGGGACTTGGCCAGGATCACAAAGCTAGTAAAAAACTCATTTACTCTTTTTGTCATTAACATATTAAGTCCTATCAAGTCGGGATTCTAAAACTATGAGAGAATTAATCAAAGTAAATATCTTTATTTTTATTTTTTGAGACAGAGTCTCGCTCTGTAGGTGCAGGCTTGAGTGCAGAGGCACTGTCTCGGCTCATGGCAACCTCTGCCTCCCAGTTCAAGCGATTCTCCCACCTCAGCCTCTTGAGTAGCTGGGTTTACAGGCACTGCCACCATGCCCAGCTAATTTTTTGTATGTTTTTAGTAGAGACGGTGTTTCACTATGTTGCCTAGGATGGTCTTGAACTCCTGAGCTCAGGCAATCCAACTGCCTTGGCCTCCCAAAGTGTTAGGATTACAGGTGTGAGCCACTGTGCCCGACCTACTTTTTGTATTTTATTAGAGACGGAGTTTCACCTGTTGGCCAGGCTGGTCTTGAACTCCTAACCTTAAGTGATCCACCTGCTTCAGCCTGCCAAAGTGCTGGGATTACAGACATGAGCCACCACTCCTAGCCTGTTGTTTTTAAAAAAATTTTAAGAGACAGAGTCTTACTCTGTAGCCCAGGCTGAAATGCAGCCCTGCAATCATAGCTCACTGTAACCTCAAACTCCCACCTCAGCCTCTCAAGCAGTTAGGACTGCAGGCATGCACTATGTTGCCCAGGATGGCCTCAAACTCCTGCCCTCAAGTGATTCTCCTATCTCTGCCTCCCAAAGCACTGGGATTACAGGCATGAGACACTGCATCAGGCCCCAGAATAAACATCTGTAAATGAAAGAGTCTGTAATGAAAGAAGCTCTACAAAATCAGTTTAGTGCCATGTTTTTCTATTAATTTTTTTTTTTTTTTTTTTTTTTGAGACAAAGTCTCGTTCTGTTACCCAGACTGGAGTGCAGTGGCGCGATCTCGACTCACTGCAAATTCCGACTCCTGTGTTCACCCCATTCTCCTGCCTCAGCCTCCAGAGTAGCTGGGACCACAGGCGCCCACCATCACGACTGGCTAATTTTTTTTTTTTTTTTGAGACAGAGTCTGGCTCTGTCGCCCAGGCTGGAGTGCAGTGGCGCGATCTCGGCTCACTGCAAACTCCGCCTCCCAGGTTCCTGCCATTCTCCTGCCTCAGCCTCCTGAGTAGCTGGAACTACAGGCGCCTGCCACCACGTCCGGCTAATTTTTTGTATTTTTAGTAGAAACGGGGTTTCACCGTGTTAGCCAGGATGGGTTCGATCTCCTGACCTCATGATCCGCCCGCCTCCACCTCCCAAAGTGCTGGGATTACAAGCTGAGCCACCGCGCCCGGCCTCTATTAATATTTTTTAGTTATACATCATGTGTCTACATTTTCATTCCATCATGAGCTCCTCGAGGACAGTGCTTAGGTGATATTTATCTCTGTCTTCTGACACCGTATTTCTGCCATCCAGGCAGAAAAGGCTCAATAAAAAGGTATTGAATCGAATAAGTATTTGTAATTCACATAACAGACAAATGCCTGATGCCTAAGCAACTGTTTATTTCCCCTTATCAATAAATGTCAGCATTGTTTTCTCCTTTCCCTGCTTTCAATTTCCTGTAAAAACCTAATGGTGACTGGCCAAGGAAATTTCCTTTTTAAATTCAAAGTTGGCACACACACTGAAGACACTGCGATAATCTTAATATATTCCTCGTAGGAATGTGAGAAGTGTTCAGAGCTAAGGGTTAAAACCATATTTGGAGGTCAAAAAATTGATTCTAGGCTGGGCGTGGTGGCTTCCGCCTGCAATCCCAGCACTTTGAGAGGCCAAGGCGGGTGGATCACCTAAGGTCAGGAGTTCGAGACCAGTCTAGCCAAAATGGCAAAACCCCATCTCTATTAAAAATACAAAAATTAGCCAGGCGTGGTGGTGAGTGCCTGTAGGGCCAGATACTTGGGAGGTTGAGGCAGGAGAATCGCTTGAACCCAGGAGGTAGAGGTTGCAGTGAGCCAAGATCGCGCCACTGCACTCCAGTCTGGGAGACAGAGCCAGACACTGTCTCAAAACAAAGAACAAGCAAGCAAGCAAACAAACAAACAAACAAACAGGCTGGGCGTGGTGGCTCACGCCTGTAATTCCAGCACTTTGGGAGGCTGAGGCAGGTGGATCACCTGAGGTCAGGAGTTTGAGACCAGCTTGGCCAACATGGCGAAACCCCATGTCTACTAAAAATACAAAAATTAGCCAGGCATCGTGGCGCCTACCTATAATTCCAACTACTCGGGAGGCTAAGGCAGGAGAAGCTCTTAAATCCGGGAGGCTGAGGTTGCAGGTTGCATGTGACATAGCCGAGATCGCGCCATCGCACTCCAGCCAGGGCAACAAGAGCGAAACTCCATCTCAAAACAAAACAAAACAAAACAAACAAACAAAAACCAACAAACAGCAACAAACAAAACGGAGGATGGTAAATAACTGTCCAGATACTTTCCAGCTTTGCCGCTATATGAACTATTCCTTTTGTTTAGTTTGTTTTCAGCATGGGTGCTTTGGCACTTTTATGTACATTCCAGCCTCTGGGGACAGGCTTCCTAGAATAACAGGCGTTTGCCCCAGAGGCCGTGGGGTGGCCTCACTTTGGGGGCGTGGGTAGATCGCGGCTCCCAAGCCTGGACTTTGGGCTCGCAGGCAGGATCCCTTCCAGGCCAAGCACCGCGCACAGGCGCGCCAGGCAGAGCCCCGCCCCACCCGGCCGTTCCCTTCCGCCCCGGGGCGCGGATCTGGCGTTTGAAACTGAGCAGAGCAGAGCGCGGAACCTGGCCGGCGGGCCACGTGACAAGCCCGGAGACAGCTCCGCCCACCCGCTTCCTGAGCCGCACCTCCAGTCCTCCCTCCTCCCTTCGCACGTGGTGCCGCTGCTGTGGCCTCCAGCTCGCCCCGAACCCAGTTCCTGCAGCCATGGCTCCTGGCCAGCTCGGTGAGGACCTAGCGGAGCGGCGCGGTTCGTGGCCCCCCAAGCTCCCGCCATCGGCGGCGGCGGCGGGACCCGGCACGCAGGGGCGGCGCTGCGGCCCGAAAGCCAGCGTCCCCGCTCCCCAGCCGGGCCCCAGCCTGCGTGTGGCCCGCTTTAGAGCAGGTCGCGGGTGTAGGACCTGAGGAGGCCTGGGCCAGGCCTGCGAACGCAGGGTCCAGGTGCTGGCCTTGCGATTCGAGAGTCTCCTCCCCCAGACCCTCTCAAGGCCTTGCAGACCACAGTGCAAAGTGCTGCGAGTCATGAGAAAAAAAATGCCTTCTCTTTCAGCCTTATTTAGTGTCTCTGACAAAACCGGCCTTGTGGAATTTGCAAGAAACCTGACCTCTCTTGGTTTGAATCTGGTCGCTTCCGGAGGGACTGCAAAAGCTCTCAGGGATGCTGGTCTGGCAGTCAGGTAAGGCACAGCTAGTTCATCAGAAAGGAGGGTGATCACATTAACCAGGAAGTATTGTATTCTAGGCACCAGGAGCTAAATAAATGCCTTACTTACTCCTCCCAGTAGCGCTGTGAGGTTGGTGCAATACTTCCCCACTTTATGGAAGACAAAAATGAGGCTCAGAGAGATTTACTAACTTTTAAGACCTTGAACGGCCGGGCGCGTTGGCTGAGGCTTGTAATCCCAGCACTTTGGGAGGCCGAGGTGGGCGGATCACTTAGGGTCAGGAGTTCGAGATCAGCCTGGCCAACATGGTGAAACCCCTTCTCTATTTGAAATACAGAAATTAGCCGGTGTGGTGGGACACGCCTGTAATCGCAGCTACTGGGGAGGCTGAGGCAGGAGAATCGCTTGAACCTGGGAGGCAGAGGTTGTGGTGAGCCGAGATTGCACCATTGCACTCCATCCTGTGTGACAGAGAAAGACCCTGGACAACACACTGGAGAGATTTAACAACTTCTGCACAAGTTTAAAGAGTTGAGTAAGGGAGAACTAGGATTGGAACCCGTGCTGTTCCTGATTTTAGGACCCTAGTCTTAGCCACTTCCTTAAACAGATTAACTTAGGTGGGCCACTTGTTATGCAAGGAAAACTTCAGTTACTTTGGTGATTTAGTAAAACTTGACATCATGAAGATTCCAATCTACCTCCCTTCCCTGAGAATCTCCGGTAACCATATGAAGGTGCAAACCATTCATTCCCACGTTCACAAGCCCTTCATTAGCTGACTAGGCCGTGGAAAGAAGGGACTTAGAAATGATTAAGCAGGATGCTGTTCCTGACGTCAAGGACTGGCATTCTGGTAGGAGAGGGAGTAAGTCTACTGAAAGGTAGAAAATGGAAAAGACTGTAGGATAGCTATTTAATAAACGACAGTGAGAGTTCGGAGGAACGAGATGCCCACCCCTGAAACATATTTTAGAATGAAAGAGGTGAAAGATATCTGTGTGCTTTTTGTTGTCATGTGGAAAATTTGCTTCTTGGTTTCTAGATCCATGTAGAGGTAGGTTACTACCTTTTCTTTGTGCAGTTCTCAGCTATGTGAGCAGTACACAGCTTCCCTAAATTTAACAAGATGGTAAGCATGCCTTACTTTGTTAACAAACACATACTTTATATTATCCGATGTCTTTTTGTGTCTTGTCTCTGTGGTTTTCATGGGAAACCTGTGAGAATCATGGCAGGCAAGTTGGCTCTTTGCTCATCAGGAACCGAATGAGAATTCGAAGTCCAGACCTGCGTTCTTTCCATTGGGCCAAACTGGGTCCTCCTATGGTAATGGAACCTTCTTTAAGCAAAATCCTCACCTGTAGTCTCTTTTTTTTCCCACCAAACTTTGTATTATGGAAACATTTCAGACACAAAAGTAGAAAAGTATAATGATCCCTTGTGTCCTGTATCTGTCTTCCACTTTAGGTACTTATCAACTGATTAGTCTTATTTCTGTACCTCTACCCACTCCTCACTTATTTTCATTATGGTCATATCTTTTTTCAAAACTGGAAATGTAAATGTGTTTCTCTTCTATGAAAGGGTAAGAAGTTCACCATGAGTGATTTATTCAGAACCCAGCACAGTAAAGTTCATTGAATGAAGTGTAAACAACTTGGAGCATTTGTTTTTCTGCAACAAAGGCCACATTCAGTTGCAGTAGTATTTTATTCAGTTGCAGTAGTATTTTATTCAGTTGCAGTGGTATTTTATTCAGTTGCAGTGATATTTTATTCAGTTGCAGTGGTATTTTATTCAGTTGCAGTGGTATTTTACATATATAAACTCTTATAGTCCTTGTAACAACTTTTTAGTGTAGGTAGTGTTGTCCCCATTTTATAGGTAAAGAAACTAAGCACAACGTAGTTAAGTAACTTGCTTGAGATTACACAGCTAGTAAGAGGCCAAGTTTTTTTTTTTTTTTGAGATGGAGTTTTGCTCTTGTTGCTCAGGCTGGAGTGCAATGGCACTGTCTCAGCTCACTGCAACCCCTGCCTCCCAGGTTCAAGCAGTTCTCCCGCCTCAGCCTCGCAAGTAGCTGGGATTACAGGTGCCCACCACCATGCCCGGCTAATTTTTTTGTATTTTTGATAGAGACGGGGTTTCACCATGTTGGCCAGGCTGATACCGAACTCCTGACCTCAAGTGACCCGCCTGCCTTGGCCTGCTGGGATTACAGGTGTGAGCTACCACACCCGAGGCCAAGATTTTGTAGGGGCGGAAGGGTGTCATGACCAATATTTTTATAAGAGAAGACAGGTTATAATAAGAGAAAAGCATAACAAATTTATTTAACAAAGTTTTACATGACATGAGAGCCTTCCGAATGAAGACCCAGAGATAGAGGGAAAACCATCCATTTTTATGTTTAGGTTCAACAGCGAATGCACAGAAAGGTAGAAGTATCATTGGACAGCAAGGATATGCTGTATGCTAGTAGACTGAGGTGGAGAAAGCCAGGAAAGCCTGTTTGTCCAGATTCTTCTTGGCATCTCTAAAATTCCTTCTCCACCCTGCCCTCCAGCAGGGTCTCCTGTCCTACTATTGGGCAAGGAGATAAGAGGATTTCTTTATGGCCAGCTCCTAGACAGAAAGCCAGGGGTTAGAATCATAAGTTTAATTCTTATGACTGGCTTTGGGAAAAGGGGTTCTACTTTCTGTAACCTGCCCTGGGGAAGAGAAATTCTGGTTTCTGTGACTTCAGGGAAGAATGAAGGGTGAGAGGCAAGAGGGCAGGAGAAAGTTAAGATTTTTTTTTTTTTTTGAGAGAGAGTCTTGCTCTGTCGCCCAGGCTGGAGTGCAGTGGCACAATCATGGCTTATTGCAGCTTCTCTCAGGTTCAAGCGATTCTCCTGCCTCAGCCTCCCAAGTAGCTGGGATTACAGGCATGCACCACCATACCTGGCTAATTTTTGTATTTTTAATAGAGATGGTTTCACCATGTTGTTCCCCTGTTCTTGAACTTCTGGGCTTAAGCAATTATGCCTGCCTTGGCCTCCCTAAGTGCTGGGATTACAGGTGTGAGCCACGATGCCTGGACAAGATCTTGGTTCTGGCTGGCGCAGTGGCTCATGCCTGTAATCCCAGCACTTTGGGAGGCTGAGGCTGGCGGATCATCTGAGGTCAGGAGTTTGAGCCCAGCCTGGCCAACATGGTGAAACCCCATCTCTGCTAAAAATACAGAAAAGAGTCAGTCAGGTGTGGTGATGCACACCTGTAATCCTAGCTACTCAGGAGGCTGAGGCAGGAGAATTGCTTGAACCCGGGAGGTGGAGGTTGCAGTGAGCTGAGATTCCGCCACTACACTCCAGCCTGGGTGACAGAAAGAAACACTGTCTCAAAAAAAAAAAAAAAAAGATCTTGGTTCTGAGGCTGCTTCTGAGCATATTTTTGGGTATTGTTATCTACAATAATTTTATCCCAGGAAGTTAACCATTACCTCGTCCTGAGGTAAACTGATGGATTTTAATTGGATTTTAATTAGTGAGTATACAGCAGTGAGCATACATAGAATTATTTCCCAAGACTACAGCCATTATGTATAAATTCTTCAGTTCAAAGGAGTAGCAAGCTTTTTAATTGCCCCAAATGTTTAATTCTAGAAATAAATCCACCTTCTCTAAGTTTTAAGTGACTGTCTTCATTTGGAGGAAATGGATTTTATTTCCTGAACCCCAGGAAAAGAAATTTTGAATTTGAAAACATTTATGTCACCAGTTTGTGGATGTTGGAACTGTGTGTGTCATTGGTCAAACACCAGTCTTTTGCAAATGGCTCCCCTTAATAGGAGTATCTACCCAGGAAATTCCATATCTTACTGGCAGAACTTGCTGCTTTAAAGTGTTTATTATAGTCTCAGCTACTTGGAGGATTACTTAAGCCCAGGAGTTCTAGGTGGCCATGCACTATAGTTGTACCTGTGAATAACCACTGTACTCCAGTCTGGGCAACATAGTGAGATCCCATCTCAAAAAAAGCTATGTATGTTGGTTGTAGAAAATTCAAAAGTGTGGAAAACTATAAAGAAGGTAGTAAAAATGGATTGTAATTCTTAACGTGTTAATATATTTTTCTTCTAGCATTTTTATAAGCATGCACTTTATTTCATAGCTTACACAGAAGATAGATGCAGTTTTGCTTACTGCTTTATTTATGTTTGTTTATTTATTTATTTTTTGAGATGGAGTTTCGCTGTTGTTGCCCAGGTTGAAATGCAGTGGCGTGATCTTGGCTCACTGCAACCTCCGCCTCCCGGATTCAAGCGATTTTCCTGCCTCAGCCTCCCGAGTAGATGGGATTACAGGCGTGCACCACCATGCCTGCCTAATTTTGTATTTTTAGTAGAGGTTGGGTTTCACCATGTTGGCCAGGCTGGTCTCGAACTCCTGACCTCAGGTGATCCATCTGCCTTGGCCTCCCAAAGTGCTGGGATTACAGGTGTGAGCCACCCCATCCAGCCCCTGCTTTATTTTTTCTTATATATTGTGGACATTTTTACACACCATTACAACTTATAAAGTCTGCCAGAGTGTTCATGGTTACAACTTTCTAGGGGTCAGCTTGGTGATATAAATTAATATTTAAATACAGTCCTTCACTTGACCCTTTGTCACATTGTGTGATTATTTTTTCTAGTTTACTGTTTTTCCCATGTGAAACTTTTTATTTGACATTTCTGTAATCAGACCTCTCAATCTTTTGTTTAATAATTGCAAAGAATATTATACATATTTAATTTTGCTACATACATGATTTTTTAAATGCTTAAACCTTTGATTCATAAGGAATGTATTTTTGTGTGGTTTTAATCAGTTATTCCAATACCAACACCACTTTATTAAACAGTCTTTTATTCTTCACTCACTTGATATGCTATCTTCATGTGTTGTTGTTTTTTGAGATTGGAGCCTTGCTCTGTCGCCTAGGCCGGAGTGCAGTGGCATGATCTCGGTTCACTGCAACCTGCATCTCCTGGGTTCAAGTGATTCTCCTGCCTCAGCCTCCAGAGTAGCTGGGATTATAGGTTCCAGCCACCACGCTTGACTAATTTTTTGTATTTTTTTAGTAGAGATGGGGTTTCATCATGTTGGCCAGGCTGGCCTCGAACTGCCCAACTCAGGTGATCCATCTGCCTCGGCCTTCCAAAATGCTGGGTTTACAGCCATGAGCCACTGTGCCCGGCCAAGGATATTTTTAATGCTTTTTGTTACATACTGCCAACTTCTCAGTTGTATTTCTTAGTAATATTTAATGAGTGTGGCTAATGAGTCAGTTTCTAAATTCTCTGAAAATTATAAAACCAATGCTGTAATAGTTACCAGTTATCCCTGAACATACACAACAGTTAGGAAATATATTAAATAACCTTTTTTTTGAAAGTAAATAGAATTTTACTTAAGAAATCAAGTATAGTGAAAGACTTAAAAAATCAGAATTTTCTTGTTGAATTCAGGCTCAAAATCTCTTGAAATGAAAACAGTAGATGCTTTGAATAGTGTAAAATAACAGTTCAGCCACACCAGTAGTACTATTCTGTTTATCTGTTTTTCAGAGATGTCTCCGAGTTGACGGGATTTCCCGAAATGTTGGGGGGACGTGTGAAAACTTTGCATCCTGCAGTCCATGCTGGTAAGTGGTTGGTATCTTTAGTGTAGAACAGTCAGTGGTTTCCAGGAATATTTTAGTTGATAACGTCCTAAAATAAAGGAGGAAAAAGGCTCAAGAGAAATTTACATATAAAGTTAATGTTACGAAGTTGCTGGCAAATTTCATAATATGTTAGAACTGGTTTAAAATCCGGCTTGTCTTACTACTTGATGAATTCAGATTGTTTTCCTCTGCTTGCTATTAGTCCTCACCTGATGCCTAATTTAGAGACTGGTATTTCCTGCTCGAGTGGCTGAAGATATTTGGATTTCATAGTATGAAAAGACTTTTAAAATAGTTCAAACTTAGAATGAAGCATCACAATGTAACCGACTTGCAAAAGAATGTTTTTTCAAAGTGCTTTACATTTGTTCATTCACCTGAGAATGAACTATATATAAACCAAAGTGACAAGAAACCAATATCCTAGTTTGTCAGTTGTGGTACAATTTGGTGAATAAAACTGAATGGCTACAGATCATCAGACATCCATTGACTTACAGGAACGCATAGACTATTCTGGAACTAGCAACAGTTTTGTAAAATTCCGTTTACCTTTTTTATATTTTATTGCTCAAGAAAAGGGGATCAAGAACTGAAGAAAAGATTTTTAAATGTATCCTTTTTTTTTTTTCTTTTTCTTTTTTTTTTGAGACAGGGTCCCGCTCTTTCCCAGGCTGGAGTGCAGTGGTGCGATCACAGCTCCCTATAGCCTCTGCCTGCCTCCCAGGCTCAAGCAGTTCTCCCACCTCAGCCTCCCAAGTAGCTGGGACTAGAGGCATATGCCACCACGACCAACTAATTTTTGTATTTTTTATAGAGAAGGGGTCTCACCTTGTTGCCCAGGCTGATCTTGAACTCCTGGGCTCAAGCAATCCCCCACCTTAGCCTCCCAAAGTGCTGGTATTACAGGCATGAGCCACTGTGGCCAGCCAAATATATCTGTTAATCCTGATTTTTTTGTTTGATAACTCCTCAAATATATGTTTGATATTCTTTAAGAATATTATACTGGGCATGGTGGCTCTTGCCTGTAGTCCTAGCACTTTGAGAGCTGAGACAGGAGAATTGCTTGAGCCCAGGAGTTTAGGATCACCCTGGGCAACACGGCAACACCCCCCTTCTCTTTAAAAAATTAAAAAGACCAGCTGGGTGTGGTGGTGCATGCCTGTAGTCCCAGCTACTTGGGAGGCTGAGGTAGGAGGATTGCTTGAGCCCTGGAGGTTAGGGCTATAGTGAGTTGTGATTACGCCACTGCAATCCAGCCTGGGTGATAGAGCGAGACCATCTCAAAAAAAAAAAAAAAATTTTGTTTTCAATCAAGAGGATTTAATTTGAAGACACTATGTTGAAAGAAAGTCCTTAATCTTACTTGTTTTTTGAACCTAATACTTCGTTTAACTTTGTTAAATTAGGAATCCTGGCTCGTAATATCCCAGAAGATAATGCTGACATGACCAGACTTGATTTCAATCTTATAAGGTAAAATCCTGAAATTGAATTTTTAACACATTATGACCGATGACAAAGACTGTGCCAAACCTGGTATCCCTGGTTTTTCTTACTCACTATAAACCTTTACTGCCTGCCTTCTGTGTGACTTTGTATGTGTGTAAGCATTTTGGTTTGGCTGGATTTATATAACCAAAATACATACTTAAAGTTTTTAGGAAGTTAGAATCTAAATCTTAGTATGTATAGGTTGAGTATCCCCTATCTGAAATGCTTGGGACCCAGAAGTGTCTTGGATTTCAGATTTCTTCAGATTTTGGAATATTTGCGATAACATATCAGTTGAGCATCCCTCAGAAATCCGAAATGCCCCAGTGAGCATTTCCTCTGAGTGTCGTGTTGACATGCAAAAAGTTTCAGGTTCTGGAGCATTTCAGATTTTGGAGCGTTTCAGATTTCAGGTTTTCCAATTAGGGATTATCAACTTGCACAACTAACTGAGTTATTTGCATAAAGATACTGGCTGTTTCTCTTAAATATACATAACAGCTTTATTGAGATCTAATCCACATACCATACAACTCACCAATTTAAAATGTACAAATCAGTGGTTCACAGAAGTTGTGCAACCATTACTGTGTTAGTCTATTCTGCATTGCTATAAAGGAATACTAGAAGCTGGGTAATTTATTTTATTTTATTTTATTTTATTTTATTTTTATTTTTTGAGACAGAGTCTCGCTCTGTCGCCCAGGCTGGAGTGCAGTGGCCGGATCTCAGCTCACTGCAAGCTCCGCCTCCTGGGTTCCCGCCATTCTCCTGCCTCAGCCTCCCGAGTAGCTGGGACTACAGGCGCCCGCCACCTCGCCCGGCTAGTTTTTTGTATTTTTTTAGTAGAGACGGGGTTTCACCGTGTTAGCCAGGATGGTCTCGATCTCCTGACCTCATGATCCGCCCATCTCGGCCTCCCAAAGTGCTGAGATTACAGGCTTGAGCCACCGCGCCCGGCCAAGCTGGGTAATTTATAAAAATAGGTTTATTTTGGCTGATGGTTCTACAGACGGTACAAGAAGCATGTTGCCAGCGTCAGCTTCTGGTAAGGGCTTCAGGAAGCTTACAGTCACAGTGGAAGGCAGAGGGGGAGCTGGCATATCACATGAGAGGAGAAGCAAGAGAGAGGGAGAGGAGGAGTTGCCTGGCTCTTTTACTTTTTAAATTTTATTCTTAATTTAATTTAATTTAATTTTGAGACAGGGTCTCGCTCTGTTGCTCAGGTTGGAGTTCAGTGGTACGACCTTGGCTCACTGCAACCTCTGCCTCTCGCATTCAAGTGATTCTCCTGCCTCAGCCTCCTGAGTAGCTGAGATTATAGGCATTTGTCACCACGCCCAGTTCATTTTTACTATTTTTAGTAGAGATGGGGTTTCACCATGTTGGTCAGGCTGGTCTCAGAACTCCTGACCTCAAATGATCCACCCACCTCGGCCTCCCGAAGTGCTGGAATTAGGTGTGAGCCACCACGCCTGACCTTCCCGGCTCTTTTAAACAACCAGCTCTACATGAACTCAGAGTGAGGACTCATTATGGGGAGGGCACCAAGCCATTCATAAGGGATCTGCCCTTGTGACCCAGTCACCTCCCACCAGGCCACACCTCCAACATTGGGGATCACATTTCAAAATGAGATTTGGAGACGACACACATCCCAAACCATACTAATTGCCACATCCCAGGCTGGTCTTGAACTCCTGACCTCAGGTAATCCGCCCATCTTGGCCCCCCAAAGTGCTGGGATTACAGGTGTGAGCCACTATGCCCAGCCCACAAACGTTTTTAATTTTGATGATGTTGAATTTATTTTTTTGTTGCTTGCGTTAATGGTGTCATATCTAAGAAACTATTGTCTAATCCTCAGTGATGAAGATTTTTGTGTATATTTTCTTTCTTTCTTTCTTTTTTTTTTTTTTTTTTTTTTTTTTGAGATGGAGTTTCGCTCTTGTTGCCCAGGCTGGAGTACAATGGTGTGATCTTGGCTCACTGCAACTTCTGCCTCCTAGGTTCAAGCGATTCTTATGCCTCAGCCTCTCAAGTAGCTGGGATTACAGGTGCCTGCTACCACGCCCAGCTAATTGTTTTGTGTTTTTAGTAGAGACGGGGTTTCTCCATGTTGACCAGGCTGGTCTCGAACTCCTGACCTCAGGTGATCTACCCGCCTCGGCCTCCCAAAGTGCTGGAATTACAAGCGTGAGCCACTGCACCCAGCCTATGTACATTTCTTTTAAGAGTTATTTTAGTGTTAGTTATTATAGTGTTAGTCTTTGTTTCATTTTAAGTTAATTTTTATATACAGACATGAAATAGAAGTCTTACTTTGTTTGTGGCTGTCCAGTTGTCTCAGCATCGTTTGTTGAAAAGACTGTTCTTTGCCCAATCGAATGGTCTTGGCACCCTTGGTCTGCGTGCCTCTTGTTATGCCAGTACTACACTATTACTACAGGTTGGTAATAAATTTTGAAATCAGCAAGTGTGAGTCCTCCAACTTCCTTTTTCTTATTCAAGAATGGCTTTGACTCTTCAGGGTCCCTTGTATTTCCACATGATTTTTAGAATCAGCTTGTCCATTTCTGCAAAACAACGCAGTTGGAATTTTCATAGGGATTGTGTTGAATCTGTAGATCAATTTGGGAAATGTTGCCATCCTAAGAATATTAAATTTTCCAGTCCGTGAACATGGGGTGTCTTTCTATTCATTTAGATTGTGTTTAATTTCTTTTAACATTGTCTTGTGAAGTAGAATTGTTTTCTTAATTTTTTTCTCATTCATTGCCAATGTGTATTTTAATACAATCGAATTTTGTATATTGTTCATATATCCTGCGGCTTTGCTGAACTCATTTATTAGTGCTAAGAGGTTATTTTTGTGAATTTGGGATTTTCGGTATACTAGATGATATCATCTGCAAATAGAGATAACGTCACTGCTTTCTTTCCAGTCCTGATGCCTTTTATTTTCTTTTCTTTGCTAATTGCCCTGGCTAGAACTTCTAGTACAGTGTTCAGTAGAAGTGGTAAGAATAGATGTTATTGTTTTGTTCCTTTTCTTTAAGACGGAGTTTTGCTCTTGTCACCCAAGTTGGAGTACAATTGTGTGATTTTGGCTCACTGACCTCCGCCTCCTGGGTTCAAGTGATTCTCCTGCTTCAGCCTCCCAAGTAACTGGGATTACAGGCATGTGCCACCTTGCCCAGCTAATTTTGTATTGTTAGTAGAGACTGGGTTTCTCCATGTTGGTCAGGCTGGTCTTGAACTCCCAACCTCAGGTGATCTGCTCTCCTCAGCCTCCCAAAGTGCTGGGATTACAAGTGTGTGCCACCTTGCCCGACTAATTTTTGTATTTTTAGTAGAGACGGGGTTTTACCATATTGACTAGGCTGGTCTCAGACTTCTGACCTCAGGTGATCTGCCTGGCTTGGCCTCCCAAAGTGCTGGGATTACATGTGTGAGCCACCGGCTCGGCCTCTTACCTTATTTCTGAGTTTAGGGGAAAAGTATTTAGTCATTCACCATCAAGTATGATGTTAGCTGTGGGTTTTTCTTACACTTTGTCATGTTCAGTAAGTTCCCTTCTATTTTTAATTAGTTGAGTATTTTTATATGAATAGCTGTTGAATTTTGTCAAATCCTTTTTGTACATCTATTGAGATGATCAGGTGGTTTTTTGATTTTTCTAGATGCAGTTTGTTAGTGTTTTGTTGAGGGTTTTTGTGTGAAGGTACGTACCTAAGAGATACTGGTCTCTAGTTTTCTTGTGCCATTTGTCTGGTTTTAGTAGGAGGGCAGTAGACTTAATAAAGATGAGCTGCAAAGTGTTTCCCCTTCTCTTCTGTTCTTCTGTGTTTTGTTTTTTGTTTTTAATTAGTTTTCAAGTTAGGCTTGTTTCGCTAGGGAGCCTGCCCCCAGAGCTCCTCGCACTACAGGCCTAGGAGTGGAGCTGTACTTCACTGATTGCTAATTTTAGATTACTTCTGTATTTTAAATTATTCTTTTGGCGTTCCTGTTACCATCATTTTTATGACCTCTCTGAAGGCAAAACAAATGTTTCACCCTTAGAATGCTCTGATATTTTTCATCATTGTACCAATCCATTGGAAAAAGAATCTAAATTCTAATGTTCTGAATAATAGTGATCGCATTCCAAAATGCGGATGTTGTCTGTAATCTTGTACTTTATCCTTTTATTAAAATGTTTTATAAATGTTTGATGGCTTGGTGGTTCCGGGTAGCTAAGGTTACGCAAGCAGCAGCGTTGCAGTGTGACGTGGAGGGAGTACTGTCTATCCAGATCCGGACAGCACCTGCTGACTAAATTCCCTCTGCTGGACCCCAGCAGGACACCCTGACTTTTTAACACACTCGTTAGAACTCCAAAATGTCAGGCTCACAGTTTGTATTTTAGTTCTGTATGGCTTTTGGTTACGTTAATAGTACTGACTTGTTTTTTTCCTAGATAGCTGTAAACCACATGAGTGGAGTTTTTAATGACAGCCAGATTCGTCTTTGTTTTAGAGTTGTTGCCTGCAATCTCTATCCCTTTGTGAAGACAGTGGCTTCTCCAGGTGTAACTGTTGAGGAGGCTGTGGAGCAAATTGACATTGGTAAGTCAGAAAAACCATTTTAGAAGACTGAGAGAGGAGAGAATTATTTAAATTTTAGTGAGATTTCATTTTGACTTTCATTACTGAGGAAATAGAAAGAAAATAGCTGCTTCTGGATTGTGTTTTGGGATTACTATAATTCATTTATATTTTCTTTTTTCATTTATATTTTCTTTTTATTTTTTTTGAGACGGAGTCTGGCTCTGTCGCCCAGACTGGAGTGCAGTGGCATGATCTCGGCTCACTGCAAGCTCCGCCTCCCGGGTTCACGCCATTCTTCTGCCTCAGTCCCCCGAGTAGCTGGGACTACAGGCGCCCCGCCAGCATGCCCGGCTAATTTTTTGTAGTTTGTTTAGTAGAGACAGGGTTTCACCGTGTTAGCCAGGATGGTTTCGATCTCCTGACCTCGTGATCCACCTGCCTTGGCCTCCCAAAGTGCTGGGATTACAGGCATGAGCCACCGCGCCCGGCCTCATTTATATTTTCTAAGCTATTTTTTGTGTGCAGAGATTCATCTGGGTTATTTTCCTGATTTTTTTTCTCTTTTTTTTTTTTTTTGAGACAGAGTCTTGCTCTGTCCCCCAGGCTGGAGTGCAGTGGCGCAATTTATATTTTATTATTATTTTTAGTAGAGACAGGGTTTTGCATGTTGGCAGGCTGGCTCTCGAACTCCTGACTCAGGTGAATCCATCTGCCTCAGCCTCGTCCAAAGTGCTGAGATTCCAGGCGTAGAGCCCTGTGCCCCGCTTTATTTTCCTGGGATTTTTAGTCAAGAATTCAAATGGAAGTACGTGGCAACGATGACTTTATTTGAAGAGGTTCAAGGCCGGGCGCGGTGGGCTCGCAAGCCGTAATCCCAGCCCGTTTGGCGAGGGGGCTCGAGACGGGCGGATCCAGAGGTAGGGATCGGACCCATTCCTGGCTAACACGGTGAAACCCTGTCCTCTACTAAAAAATACAAAAACGCGGTGGCCGAGTGGCGGGCCCGCTGTAGTCCCAGCCTACTCGGAGCGCCCTGAGGCAAGGCAGACATTGGCGGTGACCGGGAGCCGACGAGCTTCAGTGAGCTGCGATCGCGCCTGCACCTCCCAGGCCTGGGGCGACAGAGCGAGCTCCGTCTCCAAAAAAAAAAAACAAAAAAAAGAGGTTCATAAGCTGATTAGGGACATACAATCATATATGTCCTTTTGTTCTCAAAGGTGGGTAATCCCTTACTGAGAGCTGCAGCCCAAAACCATGCCTCGAGTGACAGTGTGTGTGAACCAGAGGGACTATGTGGCCAGTGGTCCACGAGATGCAGAGCTCGAGAGTAAGGGCCACCCTCCCTTGGAGACTAGACGCCAGTATTACGCTTTGAAGGTGGGATGCCCTTTCATGATATTGGGGTGAGTTATATCCATGGAAGTGGCAGCGTTGCCAGACCCAAGTCACGTATTCAATTCTTGGTAGATTGCCATCGCCTACCAACGCTCGTGCGTGGGGTTGCTGTCCTTTTGTTAAAATAGAGCAGACCAGCTTTACAGAGGTATTCTGTCCAGATTGAAAGAGGGCCGGCGCGGTGGTTCCCACCTGTAATCCACAGCACTTTGGGCAGGCCAAGGCTGCCGGGATCACCTGAGATCAGGAGTTCGAGACCCCTGGGCCAACGTGGTGAAACCCCGTCTCTACTAAAACATACAAAATTAGCTGGGTGTGGTGGTGTATGCCATGTAATCCCAACCACTCTGGAGACTGGAGGCAGGAGAATCGCTTGAACCCAGGAGGCAGAAGTGCAGTGAGCTGAGATCACACCACTGCACTCTAGCCTGGGTGGCAGAGTGAGACTTTGTCCCTCAAAAAAAA